CTTTTTTCATTTACATTATTGCTATTCATTATTTATGTTATTTTGTTTTATTCTATTTTTAGTATCCTAAGAATGGCTTTTGAATATGCTAGAATGCTCTAAACCTTGTTGTTAATGCCATTCACTGCCCTGTTGACGTTACTAAGGATCTATGAGAAAGAGTCTGGTGCCAACTGCCCTCGGTTGCCTAGGAAAGGGTTCCTATATAATTATTTTTGACGTTGCTTTCTAATGTTTGTAAGAGATAAGGAGGCCAAAAACTTCGACTCGAAATCTTCCGTCGAAAAACATATGTGCGTAAGCTCTGAAAATATTGATTTTATTATCGATGCAAAAAATATGATATAATAACAGATATAAAACTAGCTGAAAGTAAAAGAAAACTAGTATGATAAGTTATTTTTGATTGAATACGTTCTTCACTTTGTTCATTTAATAATAGAATATTTTCATAAGAATCTTTTGTAGATAAAGTTAATAATTCTTTTTTTAATTCATTAATTGACATTTCTTGTTTAATAATTAAATCTTCATAAAGTTTTTGTGATTGATTTGTTATATTACGAAATTCTTGCATACGATAACGATTTGATAATGTTGCACCTTTAAAGTAAAAAATTTCAAAAGATGAAATTAAAACAAGAAGAATGATATACTTACCAACAATTCCAGCTAAAGCACCCACCACAGAACCAATAATTGACCAATATTTTGTTCTTTCGATACGCATTTTTTCTTTTTCTTGACTTTCACGTAATGCTAATTGAAGTGACGAAAATAATTGTCTTTCTGTATCATCTTGTTTTTTTAATTCTATTTGAGCAAATTTTTCTTTTTTTACTAAATCATGTTCATTTTTAAACAATTCTAAATAAGCATCGTCACTACGTGATAATTTTTCCATTTCCAATCGTACACGTGCTAATTCGGATTGAAGTTTCATTAATTCATCTAAATATAATCGTCGTTGTGTTTGAGATGTTATAAATGCACGTTCCGCCTAGATAGAAAGTAAAATAAATGGATAAACAAGGTTGAAACATAATTGTCTCACTATCATTTATATTACATCATTGACAACACTTTGAGCTTGTTTTACTTCTTTAAGACCAACAAAATCTTCGTAAACATCAAGCCAACGATATAAACGTGATAAACGACTACGAGAAATAATTTTTGAATTATTAATTGAAAATTGACGGCTAGTTAGTCGTGTTAACATCAATGAACTTTATTAATAAACCGATAAAGAGTAGAGGGAGAGAATGAATCATTTCGATTTGTTAAACATCCAATCGAATAATGTAAGTTTATAGATCTGAGAATCATAGATGGTGTGTTCGCTTGTATCATCATTTTTATGATTCAAAAGATAAGACACTATAATAACACTGTCTCTTATTTATTCGAGGACTGTCGAAAGTTTTTCGAGTCCATAATGGAGGTTAATTATTGAAACTGTAGACATAGGCTCAAACTTGATGAAAAAAAGACGCTTTCTATTTTTTTTTTGACAGTAACTGACTTCATATATGATACATATATGTGTGAGACCTTAGAGCTATGAATTGTCGAACATCATGTGTCTATGTGAAACTAGGAAAAGATTGGACATCACGATAAGAATTTCAGATTTTAATCCATGGCAGTAAACGAAACAGCAGAAGGATGAATTATTATTTGTTATGTCATACTTCCATGTAAGATAGGCATGAATCCGAATTTTTTAAATTTTTCGTCCAGTCTCAAAGTTAAATGATGTTCGACAGCATGAGACATTCTGCTGTAAATCAGTTCTAATAAGACTATCAATTCGTAGTTCTTGTTTATAAATATATAGGAAATTGATTAATTTTTGATCATTTAGTCAAAAAACTTCTTGTCAGATTAAAAATGTAGAATATAAATGAAATTAAATTGTTAACAAACGAATAAATTTTAGTAAGTTTGATTTCGATATTTTCAATGAACAAAACAAAGGTCTTAACTATCTATTTATAGAATTTATTAAGATACAAATTTTAAAATAATGTCTTCGTAGAACAAAATAAGAATAAATTAATTTCAGATTAACTTTATTCATACATGTATAATGTGTTTCGACTTTGTTTGATTAAATCAAAATACTTCTAATTCTGAAATGAAATACAAATATTGATTTTATTTTTCTTTTAAATTCTATACTAAACACAAGTTTTTTTTCTTTTTCATCTTATTTTCATTCCTCAATCATACATATTTTTTCACCGACTGAAACTTAAGAAGCTGAAACAAACTTCACCTAACGTGTGCGCATCAAAAGTACAACAGTACAAATAACTAATGTCGAATACTCGTCAATTTCTCACTCCCATTAATTATGATGTTACAAAACAAGTTTATTCTGATGAAGAAGTTGTTCAGAAACGAAAATATCATATGAATGAAGCCTTATCAGCAAAAGAATATCATCAATTATATATCAAACCATTGATTGGTGACACAAATTTTCCATCGGAAGTCTATGCTGACAAACTACGACGACGATCTAGATTCCGTTAAAGACTATTTTTTTTTCCTTTTTTGTTCTAATATCTTTTTTTCTTTACTCGCTTACCTTTTCTTTCTACTATCTTCTTGCACGTCATTATAAAAGGAAAAAACAACACTGAATAACCCAAATAAACATATATATTTATTTTTTTGTTGCCATGTCACATAATTCCTATCCAAATGCTGATAATTCAGGTTTTAATTATTCAAGTGCAGCTGGTATACCAACAAATATCGACCAAACACATGTAACTATTTTACCTACAACAAGTTCTTCAACAATAGAATCACCATCAACGATCTCCATAACAACAACGACAACACAATCAAATTTAAATAATCATGTAAGAACATCAGGTGATCTACATTATGGGAAATTAAATGATGAACATGGTGGAGCTGGAACAAGAGCAGATGATCGTAAAGGTGAAAATGTTAAAAATGATGGTTATACAGCAACACCTGTCGCCCAAAAAGTACATCCATAAATTTCAAATAACAATGCTCATCTATATAATTGTAAAAATTTGATTTTTTTCTTATTCAAGCAAGATAGAAAATATAATAACAATATTATTCATGCAATAAAGACCACATTTAGTATTATCAGTTTTATGGTATGATCAATTTGTTATTCCAGATTAATAAATATTTGATATAAAAAGAAAATCCCTTTCGTGCATATTACTCTTGCATTTGTTGTTTTGAATAGGACTTTTTTTTCCGAAAGATTGTAGTGCGATTCAGATGAGCACATATATTTTAAAATGTATCAATTCACTATTATTTCACAGAAAAAAAAAAGACAAATAAACGAATCCAACAATACTAAGTGTCTTCGATATCGGAATGAAGTCTCAATGCTTTTAAAAATCAAAAAGCATTTATTATATATAAATATCACTTCTAATAACTACATTTCAATGATCTCGATCTTCTGGCGGTCGATATGGTAAATTAAGATATTGAAAGATCGACTCTTCAGTCGGTGTATTCAATGCTTGACCTGTGTTAATTTTTTCAACACCCTAAATAAATACATATAGATATTTCATAATGAGTTTTTCTCATACCTTTCGTACAACACCATGAAAAAGTCCATGTTGAGAAAGTGACATATTTAAACGACGAGCTAAACGACGCATAGATCGATTAAACATAGCTGAACCGGTAAAATAAAGTAATGAACAAGCCCATTCATTTGCTGGTATAAATATTAGATCAATACGACGGTACTAATGAAATAAATATTATGTTTAATTAAAGCAGAATTCTCTATACTTACAAGTGATCCTGGTTCTGGTAAACGACATACACCAAAATAAGTCATTTGTTCTGAAACATGACCTGTTGACGATGATGTTTCAGAATGATTAATCAAATCATCAGTAAGAAATCCTTTAATAGAAATGTTAGATTCGTACATAATGAGCACGTGAACAATTAGAATCGAAAAGTTAAGCATACAAGAGAATAAATGTAACTATGGCGTCTATTGAAAGTTCAGTAAGCATTTATAGATGCGAGTGTCAACGTAGCAGTGAGCGTGCCCTTCTTCTATATCGACTCTAACACCAACAATCATATACATGTATTGATCTTTTAATAGACATCATATTTACCTTGAGTTTTTTGCATGCATAATTTTTTGGTGCTGAACAATGGTCTGCAACCGATTCGAGTACTGAACTTGAAACAAAATGTCTTTCGGTTCAGGTCCTGGGTATGATCTTATACCTAGATCCGATTTGGCAATAAATGAGATCTCGATGTTTCAAAATTAAATTTGACTTTTACAAAACGAGATATTGTTCTACTAATAGAATTCGTTTTTAATCAAAATTAATCTATAGATATTGACGACTCATATGAAGAAGTAACTGAACACATGAAGAGGAAAAACGAATTATCAAAAAGGTGAGCATATGTTATAGTGATAAAAAAAGAGTATTTATGTACGTATGTATCCGCAATAATGACATTAGGCGCTAACATGACATTCCATCACAGCGTCATCAGCAACAAACAAACTTCTACTCAGCGAAATTGATTGAATTTTAGAAGCAGAAAGCCACCAAGTGAATCCTGATTCGCTTGCTTTTTTTATGGAATTTGTGATGATCCCTTCTTTGGTTTGCTATTTATGGAAAATAAACTAAATAATATTCGATCCGAGTGCACTTGTGAAAAGTCATACTCGTGTAGGACACTAGGGCTGAACATTTTTGTTTTCAAATTCTCAATCAATATTAATTTTTACCAGTGTCTTTTAATTTATCAATTAATGGTGCTAGTACACTTTCATGTAAATGTCGTTTTCCATCTTTAAATGTAATCAACATATCAATGTCACCACATGAAGGTTTCAATCGACGATAACTTCCACATGTTTCAATCATTAGACCAGGTACAACTTCATCAGCTGTTTGTTTAACCTTAATCAAAAAGAAAATTTATTTTGATTTTTGTTCTTATCAAATTATTTTGCTTGTACAATTGTTTCAATACGAGTAACTTCATCACGTGGAATACGTGTATTGAAATCATTATAATATTGTAAACCGATTTGTTGCGTACGTGTAAGACGAGCTCGTTTACGTAAATCATCAAGTGTACGAAAACCTTGTGCAAACCATTGTTTCGTTGTTTCAGTACCAGCACCCCATACACCAGCAAATAAAGCCACTAAAGAAATACAATCACAAAAAACCTTAAGATCTTCCTTTTAGCTTACATGTCGCAACATCATCACGTGATTGAAATGCAGATAATTTTACAAGACCATTTGTACGAATTATTTCCCAAATTTTATCAGCTAAAGATTGTTTTACATATGGTAATGCTTTGATTTCCTGATACAAAAAAAAAACATGAATTAAAAGAGGAAGTTAAATTTCGATTTACTTCATAAGAACGAATTGGATGTGTACAACGTTTAAGTGCTTCTATAGCTTTTTGATATGCAATGCTACGACCTTTATCATTAGTTATTAGATATAATTTCGACATTTCCTAAAAATTAATAAAATAAAATAAGTAATATATTGAAAATAAATTATATTTACTCGTAATTTTTCAATTATTTTTTCGTTTGGATTACCAACAACAGGAGTTGATGATGAAGCTTCAGAACATAACCATATACCAGTCTAAAAATTCTTTTATGATAATTACAACAAGAAAAACGATTTCTTCTTTTACCGTTCGTGGTAATTCACCTGGTTGAATCGGTTGAATATCGATATTATGCTAATAAGTAAAAATAATTAAAGAAAATCGCGGAAATTATTTAATACGAAATACTTTTTTTGCATTTGCTTCATCTTCAGTATCAGATGCTGATGATGATATTGAACGTTCTCGTTTTATCGAAGGTCGTTCTGTTAGTATTTCGTTTTTATTTGTAGAATTAGATGTTTCTGGTATTGATGATGTTGGATTAGGAATAGTAGCATGAAGTATATAAGATTGATGTGATAAAAGTTTATTTTGTTTGATTGAATCACTTAACCATTGTGTTCGAATAAATATTGGTGATGATACTAATGATGAACTTTTTAATGCTTTATTTGCTGAAATAAAATCAAGTTCATCATCAACTAAGATAAAAGAATTTTGAGTATTATGATCAACAATAGTAAGACCAAATTTAATGCAAGCTTTTTGAAAGATTTCTAAACGACGTTTACCAACTCGTAAAAATGAGACAATTTTCGGAAGACAAGGATCATCTGTCATTCGTACACACGATAATTATTTGTGAAAACAAAAATATCACTCGATTCTTTCAACCATCATCATTGGTTACTGACCAATGTCCAGTGATGTCGCTCATGTCCTATTTCGATATAATATTGCTAGTTTATTATATAGGGGCGTGATCGATGGTAGAATACCCCATCATTAACTTATTCATATACCTTCAGCGTGTTATCAGAAAAGCATGATTTTTTTTAGTAGTTATAGTAGATATATGCTGCTAATAATCTGTTATTATTTAAGCTTTATATCTCAAGCAAAACCGATAGATATCAAGTCTTTTCCTATGACTACTTTGTCAGAGTAATTCGCATCTGATTTGTTCACATACTTCAGTTTTTTTCTAAGGACTTCAAGACAACTTGAAGAATCTGTAGCAAAGTTTTGTCACCAATTAGTTAATGAAGAAAAACAACTAATTTATGATAAGCTATCCTTAGGAATAGAGTGTTTATTCACCGTTATTTGTAAAAGTCAATTAGGTTACTTATATGTAATTTTTTCGATCACAATTTTCCTGCTATTAGTAAATGATAATGCAGTCGTGAATCTTATAATAGCTTTGAAACTAATCCAGTATTGAATCATATGCTGTAAAATTTCATATTACCCAGAAACATTCCAAGTAAGGATTGAAATGTATGAACAAATCATATCTGAATTACTCTGACAATGTAGTCATAGGAAGAGACTTGATACCTATCGGTTTTGCTTGAGATATAAAGCTTAAATAATAATAGACTATTAGTAGCGTATATGTACTATAACTACTAAAAAAAAACCATGCTATTCTGATAAACGGCTGAAGGTATATGAGTCAATTAGTGACGGGGTATTTTACTATCGAGCACACCCATATATTTATGCATGCGGTCAATTCAAAACGTTCACAGTCAATTTCACCCATTTTCAGTGAATCAATGAAAAGAATTACAAGTAAACCAAAAAAAATGAGGATTTTACGTTTGGCTATGGAAGATTAATTCACAATGAAAAATTGAAAGATCACAAGTATTCTAGAAAAATGTCAAACATGTTCTCTGAACAACAACTTGAGATAAATTTTGAGCATGATTTTCTTTTTAGTCTTGAGAGAACTAATCGTCATATGTGCGATGCTGATCATTTACTGTTAAGGAGTAAACGTTTTCGAATATTATATTATAATAGCTTGAAAATTTATGAGTTTCAAAGTGTGACAATTGTTTTGAATTAATTGTTAGAGACCTATTCTTGTAAAATGAGCGCATATTAGAGATGTATAGAATAGAATAAGGTAAAGATTAAAAAGTTTTTCTCGCAAGAGAACTATCTGAAGTGATACCTGTCATTTGAGCTCATAATAAATTCACGAGAAGAGAAGAAAAACCCTAAAAGAATTTTTGCTCATGGCTTCTAGAGCCGAGTTATGATCATTTTACTGAGTTTTTGATTTAGCTTTAGATATTTATTAAAAAGATCGAATAACAATATTTCGACCAAAAGCTTGCCCATAAAATATGTCGAATGACTAGTAAAATGGTCTTTTGTCAAAATATTGAACTTTCAAATGAACTCGATTTTTGTGGCAAACAAGCATTGTTTGGAAATTTAATATCTTGACAAAAGAACATTATTTTCGGCTGAAACTTTCAAGATATTCTACTAGCCATTTGGCTTACTTGTGATAAATTTTTCTAGTTTTATAGAGATCTTCTGAAGAACGTAATATGAGCTCCAACGGTAGTTATCAGTTTAGGTAGTTTTCTCTTAAGTCAGGATACCAAAACAAGCTTACACTGAACATATCTAATGTATATCCTTTGTAGAAAATGTTTTACAACATTTTAATAAAAATTGAGTCAATATTGACTGAGATCGAACGTTAAATACTAAGACTTTATGACTAATTATTTAAGCATATTTTACATATGAATTTATTCAATTATTTTACAATATCGCACAATGTTTGATTATCTCATCAATTACAAACTGGAATGATAAGCACAAGAACACTTCAACACGTAAAACATGAAGGTAAATACGATGTCTACCGAAAAATCAATAAATTTATATGTTTGTGGTTGTCGATGTAGAAACAATGAACGCATACAATAATAGCCATATATCCACTCGTTTGTTTTGATAAATGCATTTCAATACGATACCCATTATCACATGATAGACAATACTCGTATTCTTGTTCTTAATGTCTTGTTTATCGTACTCTACTTCACAATGGAAAAAAAACATATTTACATAAAGAATCTGAGCACCATAAAACAAGTACAACAAAAAATATTTCTATTGCAAAATAGAACAAAACCTGAAAAATTAATGTCATTAAAATAAATATAAAAAAATACAAACAGAAAAAAAACAATATACATATATTCTTCAGCACAAAAATTTGCACCATCTACAATTTTCACTGTCGTTGTTTTTTTCACTCGGCTTAATAGATAGTTAAATATGACCGGAATAACCATCAACATATTTTATTGATGTGTAAGTAAATTATCTTCATAAAATTTTAACGAAAATATTTGTGAAGAATATCTATTATATAAATCTTCACCAAGTTCTCTAATCATTTGTTCCTAAAATAAAATAAATAATTGAACAAATGGTTCATTTTATAATATATATATATATACTAACCGTCATTTGTTGTTCACTAACATTTTCAATTATTTTTAAAACACGTCGTAATTTATTTGGACTAATTTCACGAAGACAATTTCTAAAAATAAATATTGTTTCTTTTTATTTTCTCATTCAAATAAATTTACTTTCTTATTTCTTCGTAACGTTGATAAATACGGTTTGTTTTATATAATGTATCCGACATTGTTTGATCATCTGATGACCATTTTTTATTTTGATAAGATCCATTTTCAGATATGGTTCTATGATTATAAGTACTACTGCTATACGATAATTCATTTGCATCATGAATATTTGCTGGTGGTAATTGTAATGTAGCAGTTAACATAAAGACGAGATCATTTATATCTTTTTCTCTGGAATTTTTAAAATAAAAATAGACAAATAAAATTTATATGACAATATTACCCTTCTTTTTTCTTTTCCATTTCTTCTGTTAGATTATCTTGTGATGTTGATCGTGAGAATTCATTTGTTGTTGTTTGATTTGGTGAGTCCATTGATACTGAATATTCAGTTGAAGATTGCAATTTATAATCTCGACGACGTTGACGTGCACTAGAAACCTGTCCCTAAAAAGAACAGCAACGCAACAAAATTAATGATAAAATTATTATAATTAATTGATATTAACTTGATTGAAATCATATGATTTCGTTATTCGTGATTGTGATGAAGGACGAGAAGAGTTTGTATTGTATTCACTTGAACTTGGTCTTATTTGTTTTTGTAATGAGTCAACCATCTAATCAAATCAATAAAAACGCTTAGAAATGAAGAAATTGATTTTATTTTCTATTTAAAACAAATCAAAGTTTATAATTTATAGTGTTTTGTAAGGAGAAGAATTAAAGTCATACGAAACGTATGTCATACATATCAAAGTTAGAAATCTAGAACATCCTTTGATTGTAGTTGCATTCTGAGATTGAAACTAACGATTTCGTAAATGATCAGTTATACGAATGAACATCTTTAATAATATTCAAATTGATAAAGGACACTGTTTTACCTCTGGCAGTGTAGCTATAATATATATTCCGTCATATATTTTTTTGTCAAATGGAAGAGATTAAATTGTAAGGAAGCACATAGCTAAAGATGTGGGCTGAGCCATGGACACTAAGGTTTCTTTCTGATACAGTTAAAAAGTAGTACATCATTTTTTAAGATTAATCCGATTGATTCAATAAATTCGGTAGCCCCTCTTCAACTGTAGATATTTGTTAATCGTCTAACAAATTAAATTGCTGATTTTTCTACTCATTCAATTTTAATAATTATATTATAGTTGTTCTTCTTAGGTTTCCGAATTATGCAATAAATGCTTAATTGCAGAGCCTAGCTGACAATTCCAACTAAAGACTATAGTAGAATGACGGTTTCATTCTTTCGGCTATTTTGCAGCACGTAGTGCTGCGTAGCGGCAGACTCATGAACCTGATATCTTTCCTACAAATACTACTAACTATAATACTGAACAGGAAGTCAATCTGATGGAGAGTTCTGGTGATTCTCATACACACTCACTAACCACAAGAACATATATATGTCCCAACGTAGTCATCATCGTATCGGACGGGTGCGCCGAAACTGATAGCCGTTAGTGACTAGAACAGTCTCATTTCGTGACTGATCGTATCAAGTTTTGAACAGAGTAATTAGTAGATGCGTGTTAAACTATGTAGCCGCTCATCTATGACGGCAAAACTATAACAGACATGTATGTCTACTAAGATTGATGCGATAACAATGCTATACATCAGAGTATTCTGTGCAGATTATTTCTCAAAAGAGAAAGAATGAATATTTACAGTGACTGGCTGAGAAACATTATCATTGACAGGTCGGTTAGGTGATGTATCATGTTCATCAGATGATGATGGTTGTTGATATTGCTTCATATGCTTCTTTAATTGTTTATCCCGTCTTAAATTGTGTAATGTATCATTTTGACTAACTTTTGATAAGAATTGCAAATTTTTTTCTTGATCATTGGCTGCTAATGGGTTATTTTGACGTGCTTGACGACGACGAACTCTTGAATGGCTTGCTATTGATTCGTTTGACTGTGAAAGTTCTGCTATCTGGACGGATCGGTGAGCATCAGTTAATGATTGCGGTCGAGAATGTGTAGGTGGTAATGCTTGATACGAAGAAAGACCTGCTGTATGATTATTATTATTATTATTATTATTCCAAGAATGATTTTTTGACGACGAAGTAAACGAAGCACTGCTTGGACGAGATGGTGAAGAAGCAGGAGAAATATTAAGTTTCGATTGAGACTTTGAATTAGCTTGATTTTGACACCTAACCAATAGATAGATATGTAATCAATGAAATTCATTAATTTAATTTATCTACTTAATTTGTGTTTTTTCTAATAATCTTAAAATATGTTGTTTAATATAAGAATTTTGTAAAATTTGTTTTGCTGTTGGACGATCGTCTGGATTCTTTTTTAACATTGATGTTATAATATCTTTTAATGATTCACTATATTTTGCTGATATTTCAGGTGTCTAAATTAAATTGAAAAAGAAAAACATTGTTTTTTAATGTAAAAATTATAAAAATTGAAATAGAACCTGCTCAAGATTTATTTTTACAATCAGTGAATTAATATCTCTAGCAGTAAACGCATGTTCAAGGGTTGTCATTTCATAAACACAACAACCAAGTGCCCATATATCCGACTAAAATTATCAAAAACAATAAAATCTCATTCATTTTTAATTGATTAATGACAAACTTTTTGTCCATATGGTTTATGAGAAAATATTTCTGGACTCATATAATATGGTGTTCCAACCATAGTTGTCGCAAATTCATTTCCTGAATTGAGTACTCTTGCAATGCCTAAATCTCCAACTTTAACAACGCCATTTTTTGTTAAAAAAACATTTTGTGTTTTTAAATCACGATGAAGAATATTTTTATCATGAATATACTAAAGAGAAAAAGCAACAAGGCAGTTATACAAAGGCTGTCAAAATTGTTCAGCAAGGTTTATTTTTAAGCGTAAGCATGAGAAAGATTTCAAATAGTGACTCGAATAAAGAAAAATATAAAGCAATAAAAATAATTATGAAATTTTCAAACGACAGAACTTTTAGAAACTCTTAAAATCTAGTTATTTTAGCAAGTAAAACGTTCAAGTGTAATTTCAAGTCAGATTACATAGAACTTCGAGTGCTCTCAACGATATTTTCTTGCTGACAAGAGAATCGTTTCAAGTAATAAATCATTTTTGGATTCTGACTCTACATATTAGATAGGTTCCAATGAGACACGAAAAGTGTCAAAAAAGCTGAATCTTTTCAGACCTTTTCTCCAGAGAGTTACAGCCATTTTACCCGAATTTTAGACTATGATACAGTATATACAAACAGATAGATTGAAGGATATTTCGAACTGAACTTTGGGTCACAAATAGCTCTACATATGACTAATATGTTCCGGAAAACTTAGCTCAAATAAATGTTTTCTTCAGAGGATATTGAATTTCCAAAAATCACTTATATATACAGGTCAAAATACCCTTCATTCGATTTTTCGCTATGTACCGTACCATTGCCTGCAGTTCACGTTAAATGGCTGTAACTCTGGAGGTAAGGTCTAAAGACATCTTCAAACTTGACTGCAGTTTACTTTATCCATAGAGTTCGAACTCAAAAATAACATAGCAATTGAAGTGATTCTTGCAGGAGTTATAATTATTTTGTCTCTAAAGTCGTACGTTTTTACTATTTTGTATCGAAAAATCTTTTTCTGATTCATACGTCAGAATATTGTATCTCATTCAAAAAATATCGTAAAAAGCTCCGAGACGTTTCATTTTGTGTAGAATAGTTTGTTTTATCGTTTGATATAATGTGGAAATAAATTACATTTATGCTTTTTGATTGTTGAAAATTTAAGTCTTTAGTTTTCTAAACGTTCCTTCTGTGAAAATATCGAAATTATCTTTGTTTTCTTTATATTTATTATTGAGAACAATTTTCTCAATTAGAATCACTATTTAAATTATTTCTTTTTTACATTTAAGATTGAAAATGAACATTGCTGAACAATCTTCATAGGCACTGTATATTAAAATATAATTCGAAGAAAAGAATTATTTACTTGTAAAGCCATACATATTTGTATAAACCATTCAATAATTTGATCTTCTGTTAAAAATTCTTTCTTTGCTTTTTTTTCTTTTAGTTTTGTATATAAATCTCCACCTTCACAATATGCCATAACTATATTAAGAAAACCATCATTTGAACGAAATGATTCAATATAAGCAACAATATTTGGATGTTTTAATGTCGATAATAATGTTGCTTCACGTTCAGCATTTTCAATATCATTTTGTAATGGACTATTTAAGGATGAATGAAGATCTAACCGTTTAAGAACGTATTGTTTTGTATGAGCTTTTGTTGATGAAACATTATTTGGTGAAACAAGCCAAACTTCACCATAACTACCTTTACCAATTTTTTTAAGAAATTTATATTTATCATTAACATCGACATGATTGCTAGGTAACGATGGTTCAGATGCGTTTTGCTTGCTTAACATTGGTTTTTATTCAAATCAATTTAGAAAAATAAGAAAGAAAATTTTTGTATGAAGAATTTTACGGCATGTAAACTTCTTAGAGGAGAGGAGAGGAATCATTTATGGTGCTCGAAAAAAAGTGTTATCATAGTTACTGAGTCAGAATGATTCATATGAGCACGTAAATACAGAAAAAGAAACTTATATGACTGTTATCAATCTTCAATTGAGAATTTATTTGAGATATCAACCTTGAAAGTATTTATGTTGTAACAGAATATTTCGATTGATAGAGAATAGATGTCAGAAGTTACTAAGGACTTCGATATTTATAATATGCCTAGAAAATAGCAGAAAATTGGAGAATGACGATGAATAAATTGCTTAAAACATAAGCATGTGATGTTATGTAACATTTTCTAGAGACGTAAAAGCATTCTTTTCATTTACATTGTTAGCATGTTTAAAGAACTGCATCACATGATATTTGTAAATGTTCTCATTTGATTCAGCTACAATGAAGTTGAATTAATCTATGCAATCATCTATAACAACAAAGTTTTCATGTTGATTTATTTTCATATAGCTATTTTCTCTTATGTTCAATGTCTTCTAACTATATGTATAGATGATTCCGATATCTAATGGTAACGTTGTTTTTTTTGGAAAAGTAATCGAAAGAAATTGCACTTAAAAGCTCTACCAGTGGAGAGAGAATATTTCGAAGTATGAAAAAAAATGATTTTGCAAATCACTAGTTTTTTTCTTTCGTTAGATCTAGAAACCACACGGTTTTCAGTAACTCACTAAGAAAATTTCAACCAAAACAAAGGACAGAATGACTCCAAGATACTTTCATAGATTTTAAAGCATTTTTTGAGTAATAGTGTGTAAAACTTTTGAAGAAATTTCATAAAGTCATGAAGAATATTCTATAAGAGGAGAATTTGAGGCAGTTTTTGTCGCAATTAAGTTTACAATGTATCTACAGTATAAAAATAACACAAATTTTTTCGTTTTTTTTTAAAAGAAAATGACACAATGCTTTCTCTCTGAAATGTTCACTATGTAAACAAACAATAAATGAATGCAAAAAAAAACTAAGAAAATATGGGTGAGTCTTCTGTTCTTCTACATTCATATTCCACCTAGATCATAATTATAGTATAATTAGAATTTCAACTAATGAGTGTGATACCGCAACTTAGTAAAAAGACATTTTACTGCATTGTTCAAAACATGTCCTTCAGGAATCATTGAGAACTCTGTTATTTGCAGCTTGAATTGCACTACTCAATTAAATAAGTCACACTCCAATGAATGCCAATAAAATTTAAATTATTCTATAATTAAAAAAAACAAATAATTTTCAGTTTTCAACAATCGAAAGTACTCAAATTTGTGTATCATTTTGATAGAAAAATATGTGACCTAAAGTATTTATTGATTTTACACTAAAGTGAAAATACGTTGAGATACATTTGTAACTTTTTTCTGAAATCATTAACATAAATTCATGTTCTTAACATACGAAGGTAACTCAGTTTACAATGAAGTTATCAATATAAAGAGCATTCAAAATCTTATAAAAAAGCTTATTGTACAATCTTCACTTTTTGTGTTTCACGCTAAAGAAAACGAAGAAAGAAAGATGTGAAAAGAACTGTCATAAAAATACGTTGAAAATGGCGAAAAAGCTAGTTTATTTTCTGCAATGTTCAAAAACGTTAATAGATAGAAACTTGATTTTAGCAGTACATATAGAGCATGATTGATACATACGTTGGTATTAAGTGCGATCAGTTTGACTTAACGGAAACTGATATGTAAACAAAACCAGGATTTGTTTGTAACAAGATACAATAAACAATAGAATTACTTACATATGCATATACAATGAATAATTTTACTTCATAGCTAAAGTTGATTTTTAAAGCAGCACTAACAAATAATAATGGAAGATTTCCTGTTTTTAGTGTAGTCGTTAAATTATCATAATAAGTAGCGTTCCACAATAATCAACTGTACATATTCATGTAATGTATAGCACGCGTTGGTGGTGTAACGGTTAGCATGGTTGCCTTCCAAGCAGCCGACCCGGGTTCGACTCCCGGCTAACGCACGTCTCTCTTTTTCATTTTTTTTGTTGTATTTGTATTTTAACCGTTCATATTTGTGTACCCATAAAAAGTAAATCTTATCGAGTTGAAGTCATTTATCACATTTAGCAGCATTATATGTATGAACATGCAGTAGATAATTGTATTTCATAGTTAACGATGATTTGTTAAGGAAAACTAAGAAATAATAATGAAAGACTATTTGGTTGTTAATTCAATCACTGAACTTATATGCAGTGGTCGTGAGAAGCCTCGCTAGTGGGTCAAAGGTGCATAAACTTCAATCCTTTTTGCCAGATATTTTGACTATAAACAGAGATCAGTAAACCCTGATTGCAAGCAACAACCACAAGTCGATAAGTCTTAATGCAAAGAGTTGGCAAAAAACAGTGGTTTTCTTCGTAGGGCTCACAAAAAGACTTTCTCAGTGCTTTTCTGATTGTTTTCACTATTTATATGCGATAACCTCCATTTTATAATTAGTCCATTGACGGAAGAGTTTGTTTTGTTTTTGAAAAGATACAATAATGATCTTTTTCTTTCAAAACAATCTGCAATGATGCGTATACGTCAAGAAAAACAGCGAATTTCAAGGAGATTTATAACATTCAATAAGATTTTTGGAGTACATCATCAAGCGAAAAGATGCTGAATATCATATAATCTTGTGGTTGGTGCTATGATGCACTTTGAAATTCCTTATCATAATAAAAAGGTCTCATAAAGTGTAGCATCTGATGATCTGTAACTGTAGAGTTCGAGTAAAAGTTGCAATGTCATTGAACAATGATGACTGTGGGATTTTGTGCGGTCTTACAGGATTCTCTCTTGTTTCTCCTTGATATACATATATATTGATACCGCACGATAATGCTGTGTAATACTATTCACATAAGGGATAATTAAAATATCATTATAGTCTAGTGAAAACGGATGAACTTACAAGTTAGAATCTGTTCAAAAGCTCAAAACATATATATACGATTCCAGTCGTGAGAGGATTAGTAAATAAAGACTTTCACGTCTACACTATGTTACAGACAAAGCGCTTCAATTCACTATAATCTTGATGCGCGAAAATACCTCCATTATCTGGAACGATCTCAGCATAGATCTCTTCTCCATCGATGGTTATGGCCGTTAAACTTTCAACCGAAACTTAATTAGAGTAGGATACTCACCGAAAAAATTCTCAATGTGAATGGTTTAAACTATTTGGAAATATGAGCCACTTTTCGAAGATTTCTATTAACTATAATGTCGGAACTACTCAAAGAATGCTTCATAAACGAGATAAACTAAGATTATTTGATATGAAACTTCTTGTTAGTGATAGAAGCAGTACCAAACTATTAAATGATGCGTCGAATGTCACGAGACTTGTCTTTCTATGGTGAGATGTTCTCGTTTAGAGAAAAAATTTGTGCTGATTGTAGCTAAAAACTCTAGAAACTAGATATATTTTGATATAAACATATTTATTAAAGTTCTAGTTTCGGGACAAAATGATTAATGAAAGGGGTTCCTATATATTACGTATAGAGCATACTTCGTCAACAGAGAGTCTTCTACTGCAAGGGAGAGGTTACAAAGTTTTCGCTTTTCCGTGGATGCTATTGATTCTGCGTAATTCTCTTCGACTTCTGGCTAACGCACGTTTTGTTGTTTCTTTTCTGTATCTTTAATTTAATCATGCATACTTGTGTATATAAAAAAAAAGTAAAGCTGATCGTTCTTGAAGTTTACTATTCCGATTAGTAACATTATATGTTTAAATATACAATGCTTGACTGTACTACACAGATAACTCTCATACCACCATATGGGATTGAGTCGTATCCAAGACAATCTCATCTTTATGTTGCGCACGCATAGTATTGGATAGAACTTCGTCCTTTTAGGTATATTTCTGGGTAGTTTAGCAGAATCTATAGATAACATCAATTAGTCCTATTTAATCCCTGTTAAGATAATACAGTAAGTCAAATTACATACAAACGAATCTTCACTACCTATGATTCGTCTGGACTCCAAGAAACGGAACTCATTTCACAGTTCTCATTTTTGTACTAACATTTCAATTTAATATCTTATACACTTTTTTCATTGCTAGATAATATTTCGAAAGATTCTATCGTATGTTCTAATTTTCTAGAAAGACCTAATTTTTGATACGGTCGATATTGCTAGAAAGGCCACTTTTGTTGTGTAGATGAGCAAAACTCCGCTATTTAACAACGGCAAGCTGAATCAACGACTATTGTTCTTATAGCAAGTTAGTTGCAGTCTCGTTGATGCACAATTGAATGCACATTGTCGAAACCAACAGGCTATTTAACGAATTGCTTAACTAGTGATGCTGCCTTTGAAATGCCAATCATTGGTTGAGTACTTGCTGTAGTATTGGACATTAATAGAAATCAACACTGTCGGCTGTGCCGAAGAGAAGCCGATAGGAAAGTTGTTATCATTTGTGCTAGTTGACAAGTTCCTTGTACTTCATATCTTCACAAAATCATTTATGATTCAAACTCAGAAATATTTCAAGAATATGAGAAAAGACGATCGGATAATGAAGCAAATCTAATAAACTGTGCTACAATAAACCGTCCTTCTCTTGAATCTTCTTGTAGTAATATAGTGCTTTGAATGCTTACAGTCGCTTTACCACCCAAATATAACTTCAACTATGTTTAATTGATAACTAAGCTACGGTTCCTTTGGATTCCAAATGGAAACCAGGTTACCACGTCATAGATGGAGATATTAGGGTTGATGATCATTTATTCAAGAGAGGTAAAAAATCATAATGAAAGATGAGCCATTTTTAGTTCAATTGCTAAACTAGTATAGTTAGTGATGTTATACAATCAACAACAGTATATTTTCATGTAATGTACACCACGCGTTGGTGGTGTAACGGTTAGCATGGT